TCATCATCATCAACAATAGTTAATGCGATGTCAACATCAATGTCACTTGATTTATTAAGTATGTTACATAATGATACTTATGAAATGCCAATAAAAAAACCAAAATTTAATCATCGACCAACAATGGCTGCATTATCAACTTCGATTAATCTTGATGTTCTTAGTGTATTACAAAAATCTACTGGAAATATTAATTTATTGAAAAAATCAAAATCAAGACCCATTAAACATAAAACAAAATCAGATATGACTATTCAAAGTTAGAAAATCAATAAATAAATACATTTTTTCATTTTCTTGTTTCTTTAGATCGAAAACCTGTTACATTATTAAATACATCATTATCACTTGATGTATTAGATATTATTTTACGTGATAAACAACAATTGAATGATGATGATTGTGAAATAACAAATGTATTTATTAATAAATCGAAAACAGATGACAAGAATGATTTTGTGCAATTATCTTCATCGGATAATGAGATTTTACCTCTTCCACTTTGGGATCGAATTCGACAACGAACAGCTGTTTAATCGATTTCATATTTGTTTCTATGTGTTTTTTTTCTGTTTATATTGTAGATCCAATGGATCATTTTTCTACTTTCTCTATGTCAGATTTTCTTCCTGTTTTTTTTTTATCGATTGAGAATCATAATCACGCTTATTGTAATACATGACTATTAATATGTAGATATGTATCTAAATAATCATTTGAGATTCGTTTTAATTGATAGAAAAGAGTGAATATCAGTTGAAACAAAAAAATGAATTTCTTTCAAATTAAATAAAAATGAATTATATGCAATTCAATCAAAAAGAAAAGTTTTTTCTCTAAATCTAAACGTACGGCATTAAACTATCAACAAAAAAGAAATCTTCAGTTATCAGATATACAATTAAATCATGAATTATGAACCTAGAAACTATGTAAGGCTTATATATATCTGTATTTTATTAATCAACAATTAATTGTAATCTAGTCAAATCTCAAAGATAATAGAACATTGTTTTTACTATTACTGCACATAAAAAGAAAGACTACTGAAGTTTACTAAACGATTACAAAAATGTCACTACAGTTACTTCTGATTCTACTCGAATATTAATAATTTTCAATTTGAAGATATGCATACAAAAACATACCATTTTTATTTGAAACAAACAACTGTGTACAATTTAATATTTGAAATTTTTTGTTTACTAGATATTTTTAAAAGAGAATCAAGTCATTGAACCAAAGCTCTTGTTAGTTAACTGGGTATCAGTTGGAATGATCTCATTCGATTTCTAAAACTATCAACATTTTAAGTATCAGTGAAAAAAAGAGTCACCTACACTTTTTTAGTTATAATCAGAAACACAATAGTTATGTCTCTTTTATATATAATTTTATATCGTTAAAATAATCATAACAAAAATATTAAGTATAGTTTCTACCACGTTTCTATCACTAAAAATGACATCATTACTTGATATTTTTTTCTTCCAACAAGTAATTGAAACATTAGGTGAAATATATGATGCATGACGAGTATGTATATACTCATTTTATATGAAGAAAAAAACGGCACATTATGCGCCGAAGATATAGAACGACACATGACAGATTTCGTCAAGAGTCTGCAATCGTAAATCAAACTCTTGTCAACTTCACTATGTTACCGGTAGAACTTATCTACCTAATTCTGGACCATCAATCTAATTTGACAATGCTATGTTCAATGAGAAATGTATGTCAACAACTCAATAGGATCATAGATAATTATGAGAGATACCAGGTAAATTTTTTCTATCATGATAGTCTAGTTTTTACATATTGACTGTAGTAAAACATACGTGAATGGAATATTTGCCACTCAAAATAAATCACTAGTTATTCCTCACTCCCTAATCATTCATTTTTATATTATGCCAATACGAAAAGAGTGTCTTGATGATCAGAAAAAGTAATTTCATTTGAATATTTCATGCTTCAACTACGTATGATATCTTAGACATACAATATTTAGATAAGAACGAAAAATAGGGATAAAACATTATTTGCTTTTTGTGTGTATCTAATTATCTTTCTTTAAATACCATTTCGATAATAAAAATCAGCTTTTGAAAGAAATTAACCGTAGATAAACTAGTTTATCTTGTTATAAATAACGTCCTCAATATTTTCATAAGAAAATACGTCTGACAAATTCTTCTTTTGAGAGCATATGCGACTATTGTCCCCAGTGACGGCGGATGTCGATGAGGAGAAGATTGACTTGCAAAAACATCCACATCCTCCTTCAATCACATAACTCGCAAACTCACAGTTGTTTCGAGCCGAAGTGCCTGAAAAAAACAATTTTTAAGTAGCCAGGAATTTTTCCTTCTTTCACAAAAATTTAGAACTTATTGCGACTCACAAATAAAATGTTTCTAACATTACTGCACTCTTGGCAACGTCTTTTCAAACTAAATTTTCACAAAACATTATCGTGCACTATACAGCCGATAAAATCATATAATATTCATATTAGTACCACATCCCTGAAACAAAGTTAGAACAATATGTACTTCAATGCGTTACTCTCATATAACACCGACCAACTATTCACCCACTTCATCTGCACCATATCTTAACCTTCACTTTTCATCTAGACACTCACCATACTAAATCTATCGGGCAATAAAATCGGAGATGTTGGAGCACAATCTTTGGCTGATGCATTACAACGCAACACAGTAACTCTGATTCTCCTTTTATCTATATCATATCTTTACCTTAACTTTTTCAACTAGACACTCACAACATTAAATCTCTCGCACAATGAAATCGAAAAAGTTGGAGGACAATCTTTGGGTGTTGCATTACAGCACAATACAGTAACTTTCATCACCTCTTTATTTAAACCATATCTCTACCTCAACTTTTCATCCAGACACTCACTACACTAGATCTATCGAAAAATCACATCGGAAATGCTGGAGCACAATCTTTGGCTGATGCATTACAACACAACACAGTAACTCTTATTCTCTTTTTTATCTATATCGCATGTCTTTACCTCTACTTTTTCATGTAGGTACTGACTACGCTAGGTCTCGGATTTAATCAAATCGGAGAACTTGGAGGAAAATCTTTGGGTGATGCATTGCAACAGAATACAGTAACTCTCATCACCTCGTTATTTAAACCACGTCGCTACCTCAACTTTTCATCCAGACACTCACCACACTAGATCTATCGAAAAATCACATCGGAGATACTGGAGCACAATCTTTAGGTGTTGCATTGCAGCACAGAACAGTAACTCTCATTCTCTTTTTATCTATATCTCATGTCTTTACCTCTACTTTTTCATGTAGGCACTGACTACGCTAGATCTATCGGAAAATTACATCAGAGACGTCGGAGCACAATCTTTGGCTGATGCATTGCAACACAACACAGTAACTCTGATTCTCTCTTTATATATATATATATATATATCATATCTTTACCACCACTTCTTCATCTAGACACTCACAACATTAAATCTCTCGCATAATGAAATCGAAAAAGTTGGAGGAAAATCTTTGGGTGTTGCGTTACAGCACAACAGAGTAATTCTCATCACCACTTTATTTAAACTATGTCTTTACCTCTACTTTTTCATATAGAAACTCATCACGCTAGATCTCTCGACTAATAAAATCGGAGAAGTTGGAGCACAATCCTTTGGTGATGCATTACAGCACAACAGAGTAACTCTCATTCTCTCTTTGTTTAAACCATATATTTACCTCTACTTGTCTATTTAGACACTCACCACGCTAAATCTCGAGAGAAATCTAATCGGAGATGTTGGAGTACAATCTTTGGCTGTTGCATTACAGCACAACGGAGTAACTCTAACCTTCTCTTTATTGAAATCATGCCTTTACCTCCACGTTTCGTCTAGATACTCAAAACATTACGCCTCTCGCACAATGAAATCGAAGATATTGGAGCAGAATATTTAGCTGATGCATTACAACAGAACACAGTAACTCCGATTCTTTCTTTATCCATACTATGTCTTAAGCCCGATTTTTTCATCTAGACTCTCACTGAACTAATCGTCGATTATAACCAGATCGGGGATTATACGAGAGCTGTAATTATTGCATCACTTATACGGAATAAAACAGGAAGAAAACTATGAACAGTAATATTAAATGTGTTTAGATGAGGAACAAATTGCGCGTGTTAAAGATGCTAGTATTTTTTTGTGTTATAATTTTGACAGAGACACAAAATAAAATTGCTTCTTTTCAAACTCAATCTGTGTTTTGATGATAATAGTTGCTTAACATTTTAATATTTGGTGATTGTGTAACACATGCAAAAGAAAGCTGAGATTTTCTACAACAACATTGAATATCTAAAACATTGTTTTTAGTGAAGCTGAAATACAAAAGGTTTTGTATGATAGTCATAGAACTCTGAAAGATCGTTGCGGGTATCGAGAAACGATAGAAGATTCTCGATGACAATAAATAAAACCCAGCGACGTTGTCTCCAGTAATATTGGAGCGAAGGGTTCTGTCCAATGATTTTGAGTCAGAAATTTTTTTCTCTAATAAGACGGAACCATAAAATATGTAGTATCGATTAGTGCTCAACTCAGAAAAATTCTATTATCAATACTGTTGAACCATTTCAGTTTGTTTTAGCTTTGCAGAATTTCTCAAGACTTTGTAGTTGAATAGCTGAATCATGAAGAATTTATTTAGTAATAAAAAAAAGTTCAGTACGGAACAGTCTTGTAACTACGAAAACTCTCTTATCGAGGTGGTTTTGTATGTATTAGTTTTTTACCTAGTTGGATGTTGTTTAACATGTATTGAAAGTATATTTTTTTGGAAGTGTTAGATGAAATTATATGATGACGTTGAGATAGCTTTGCAGAATACTGAGGAAATAAAGGCTGATAATTCATTTGCTATACATAGAATGATCATGTAGTGAACTATTGAAACGAAAAGGCAATGAATAGATTGACAAACCAGTAGGATAGATTTCATCAAATAAATAGAGTGTGCGTCTGGATGTGGATGTGGGCGTAGGTATGGATGCGGGCATATTTACAGAAATACCCACACTCATATTCACACCCGCGCCCACACCCTTCTACTATTATAAATTAAACTTTCCTATTATAAATCCTCTTCCTATGACGTAATAAAGGGTAGTCTGAGTTTCCGTTCTTTTCCTTTTTTTGTAAATATTTTGTGGTTTGTTAATTTATTTTTCTGTTAGTATTGAGGTATTGGTTGTTACGTGAGATTGTTTTTTTGTATTTTTTTTGCTTTTTCTACTCGATAATAATAATGAACTTATCGAAACGTCGTATTGACGAAAACTAAAGAATTTCTTGTCTTTTATTGAAAGGTACTGTTAAATATTATTTTGATTTAGTTTCAAAATTTTCGCCCATGGGTTTATATAATTAATGATTATATACCACCTGGTGAGATAAGCAAACGTATAATACGATTATTACTAGCATTTTTAATTAAAGCAGTAACAT